TCGCGGTCCCAGACAGACCTGTGGACACTTGCTGTGAAGTTTTTTTGTGTGCTTTTTAGCACATACACTACTGTACAGTATTATTCAATCCATCATGGCTCCAAAGAAAGTGCAGAGTGGTAATGAAGGTAACCAGAAAGCACAGAGCAAGAAGGGTGGTAAAAAGAAAGTGCAGAGCGGTAATGAAGGTAACAAGAACATGAAGAGCGGTAATGAAGGTAACAAGAACATGCAGAGCGCTAATGAAGGTAACAAGAACATGCAGAGCGGTAATGAAGGTAACAGGAACATGCAGAGCGGTAATGAAGGTAACAAGAACATGCAGAGCAGTAATGAAGGTGACAAGAAAGTGCAGAGTAAACATGGCGGTAAAAAAAGTGCCGAGCGCTAATGAAGGTAACAAGAACATGCAGAGCAGTAACGAAGGTAAGAACATGCAGATTGGTAATGAAGGTAACAAGAACATGCAGATCGGTAATGAAGGTAACAAGAACATGCAGAGCAAGAATGGTAAGAAGGTTTTGAAGAAAATAACCATTGAATTGGAGGAAATTGTAGATTGTGGTTAAAAAAAAAATAAAAGTACATATGGTTCAGAACGGATTAACCTAATTTACATTGAACCCTATTGGAAAATTTGATTCGGTTCGCGACCACGTTCGTAGGGGTCAGAATGGATTAACCTTATGGGGAAATTGGATTTGGTTCGCGACCAGAATCGTGGAATGAATTAAGTTTGTGAACAGAGGTACCATTGCATATGCTAATAAACTGTATAACTTACTGGTTTGTATGTATTTGCTGTATAAATAAAAAACTGCAGATGGTAGAAGTAAATGATAAATATATGCACATTAAAGCTGAAATGTGGGCTAAACAAATCTTGGTGTCCTCTGTGTATTTTTACCAGATCTGTGCTATAATTCAGGATGAAACAACTGCACTTTGACTATACAGGTGAAACTCGAATAATTAGAATATCGTGCAAAGTTCATTTATTTCACTAATGCAACTTAAAGGTGAAACTAATATACGAGATAGACTCATTACATGCAAAGAAAGATCATTCAAGCCGTGATGTCACAATTGTGATGATTATGGCTTACAGCTCATGAAAACCCCAAGAACCCCAAATCCGCAATCTCAAAAAAGTAGAATATTACATGCAATCAATAAAACAAGGATTGTACATAGAACAATATCGGACCTCTGAAAAGTACAAGCATGCATATGTACTCAGTACTTGGTTTGGGCCCCTTTTGCAGCACTTACTGCAATTACTTTTGCACAATATTCTAATTATTCGAGTTTCACCTGTATAATGAAGTCTGGTCACTGCTGCTCTCTTCTCTATTTGCAGGGTGACTGGGCTTGTATCTACCCCTTCCTTGTAGTGGGTGAGACTGCTGGGTGCCAGCCATATCGGATTTGCAAATGCATTTGGTGCACACAATGTGTATTTCTATAATTTGTGGATAAGGAATATTAATAGACTTTATTTTTTGTCTTTGCAGTTCAGCTTTAAAATATGTAAGAGAAACAGCGCTTTTCCCATACAATGCAAACCACCAATTTCAGTGGAAGCCACCCCCCAGCAGAATCTTATACTCACTCTCCTTCCCTGTGTTTGTTTGAGAAGAGGCCCTGTGTACCACCAAGTTGATTTGAGTCAGATTACATAGGGCTGAGGACTCTCTACCACCCATCGTGTGACTGGTGCCTAAAAGGGCCAATTAGTAAGAACCAGCACTGTTACGTGGGAGGAAGGGGAGATAATTAAATGATAAACTATACCCAAATTTACCGGATTGTCAGGGAGTGAGGGTGAGTATATGCAGCAGGGACATGGCCATTCAAGTCAACCTTCCTTTGCTATGCATGGGCAAAGCACAGATACACGTTAAAGGTCCAACCAAAACTGGAGCAGCACCGTGGTACCCTTGCAGTGCAGTGGAATCAATGCCCACATGGGGCAAATAATAAAAGAAGACATTCTATAGTCTGTAGAAATATAGACATTTATTTAAATATACAAGACAGAACTATGTGCATATCCATTCAATTTATTGTGATATTGCAGTTAGTCTCCTCGAATTCCAGACAGGAACCTAAAGTATGGCTCTGAAACACAGCTTAAAGAGAGAAACTTTGACTTTGTGACATCTTAGTTAAAATCTTTTTTTCCTCTGGAGATTATTTACAAATTCCTTCTACAACAATTATTACTTTGTACATTAAAAACACGATCTTTAAATAAAAATTCCAGATCAGACAGGTAACCTAATTCTGTCCAGTACTTTCAGCATGCCTCTCCAGCCACTGATACCTGGAGTTTGTGAACAGTTGGAGAGAACCGGTTAGCAAACACAGACAGGATGAAAAGAAAAATTAAAATAACCACAATGGAACTCTAAGGGCTTGTTCACATCATGTCCAGACCAGAACAGTTTAAAAATGCACCCCAATGTATCCCTATGGTATTTCTGGGCTCTGTTCACACCAGTGCAATCCGTTCTGGACTGAAAAAAAAACAAAAAACCTGCTCATCTCATTTTCTCTGGCCTGGAATGTACTGTAACACATGAAAACACATTAAAAACCGCATGCAAACGCACTGGAATGCATCTGAAAGCCCATTTTAAGCTTAAAAAAACCCTTGCTCCGGAATGCAATACAAATGCAGCAAAATGCAAAGCGCTGCGGTCCAGATCTGCTCTGGAAAATGGTGTGAACCTGGCCTGAATTTCGTTCAGCCTGCGGGAACTTAAATCGATCCCCGGTAAACAGATGGGAGGAAGTTCCCCGTCAGCTACTGTATACAGAAAGCTGGCACCCCGAAAAGTGACTGCATCGGCTGACAATTTTCCACCTGGCTCTTTGATTTTCCATGTGAGTTTTGTGGGCCAACCACAGCTTAAATTTCAGATAATTCCGTGGGGATTGGCTAAAATTGAAGCTGTGTATGCCCAGTTTAAGACCAAGACAATCAAAAGGAGATCTGTAAACAGCGGATTTGCTCCACCAAAAGTGTAAAAAAACCACAAATAAAACAAACGTCTCTAGGAGGAAAAATATGGTTTTGTTTTAAAAATTAAGATTTGTAATAAAACGCATAAAATCAATACACTGAAGTAAATACAACAGTAATACATTATCAGGTCTATTCACAATAGGGTGTTTGCTTTGGAGAAGGCAGGAGAAGTGAACCTGGATTCGGCCCGCGGGCCTTGTGTTTGCCACCCCTGATCTAGGACAACACAGCTGAACTGGAAAGTGAGTTGAATTGGAGAATGTTTCCAAATAAACTATGTTGGCCTAGATTGTTCACTTCCTCTGCCTTCTCCAAACCCTTCCCCGTTTGGTGAATAAGCCTGTAAATGGATATCTTGTTATTTTACGATTAAACCCACCTGACCTCCCCGATGAAACACTACTAATAGAGTCCAGGGTCAGTAAATTGGTAAGCAATCGCAGTCTCACAATTTGTTTAGCTAGTAAAGCAGCCACAACCATAGTAAAATGGCCCATCATACTGCAAAGAAGGACCACTCTATGTCCCTTATAATCAAAGCTAGAACGCTCCATTCAGCAGTGAGTGCAAGCTTTGCTTAGTGGAGAGCTTTAGGTCTGTCTAAACAGGGGTGTGTTAGACTCCTGCAGAGAGGCCGCTGCTTACATATACAGAGCAGCTGCCCTTCTATGCACCATGATGGACGTGAGACGACACTGCTGCTGTATTACCAGCTAAATGAATGGCAAGGCTGTGGTTACTTACCGTTTCATAATTCAAACTGCAAAAAGGGGAGTTCAATTGGGCTTTAAAGGAAACCTGATCTGATCTACTAAAAATGCTAGTTGCCTGGCTGTTTCTACCTCCAATACTTTGAGTCACTGACCTAGAACAAGCACACTCAGTATACTAAATGAGAAGGACAGGCTGGCAACTTATTTTTCCCAAGGAGAATCAGAAATAGCAGTACAGTATAAGGTTTAGTTCACATTTCAATGGCCTTCATGTGCACAGAGTGACTGAAATAAAGTCTTAGTGGCTTGTAGCCATCAGTGATATTCAAGCGGTCATTTCTTTTGTGTAGGAAAATGAAAAACCTTACTGGTTGTGATGGACAACACAGGCAAGAGGTCCAATGGATTAGATCAGGTGTAGCCAAACTCCGGCCCTCCAATCACATGATGCATCTCTCTCCGGGAGTCATGTCTGTGAGAATCTTGCAATGCCTCATGGGATTTGTAGTTCCACCACAGCTGGAGGGCCAGAGCTTGGCTACCCCTGGATTAGATTATAAAAATGGGAGGTTATCATCAGTGGAGGCTTTTCCTGTCGCAATCTGATGTCCCTTTTATTTTTATTCTGCACTAGAGAATTGAAGCCAGTCTGTAAATCAATTACCATGTAGCAGACTTGGAAGACATAGGGGTGTATTTATAATAATATTTTTTTTTTTAAATGGGTTCCGCAAAATTACGCATACGTTCGTTCTGTGAGAATACGGGCAGAAAGAATGTTATTTTTTTTTTTGTTAGTTTAGTGCAAATGTAATATTAGGAAAGTACTGCACTATGGCCACTAGATGGCGCTAAGGAGGAAAAGTTTTTATTTCGTATTTTCCTCATTGCCATCTAGCAGTATTTTCCGAATATTACATTTGAAATGGAAAAAAATAAAATAAAAAAAATTGACTAAACATTCGTTTTTGCCTCCGTTTGCACAGAATGAATGAACATACTCTTTAGCAGGATGAATGATGCTGCAAATTGGTTACAAATAAACTCCTAATCTGATCATAGAAAAGGACATTTTAGAACACATCAATGATCAACAATATGCGCTTCTTGGAGAAAGGAACTTAGGAAAGATAATTTGCATATGTTGTAACTATAAAACCTCAAATAAAACACTTTGCATACTTAAAATTTCAGAGCACATTTCATTTTTTACCAGTCAATCTCCATAATTAAAAACAAATCCTAATGAAAAATTCCTAGGTTTCTGTAAAAGTCACAATCATTTCCATCGTGTTTTCATTGTTGGTCATGCTCTCCCGAAACAGTTGTGTATGTTGCCATGCAGAACTTCCTTCTCCACCACACAATTCAGCTTCCAATACCACTTCTGGTGCGTTTACAAACTCTGGGTAAGAATAGAGGTTCTTATCTGAAAAACAAGATTACACAGACATGTATTTGATTAGGAAACGATAAAGTCAGAGCAGAACCATGGCATTCCCATGAGGCATTGCAAGACCAACAGCCACAGGCATGACTCCCAGGGGCAGAGGAATGATGAGATTTGTAGTTTCAGCACAGCTGGAATGCTGAGGTTGCTACCCCTGTGCTGAAGGTTAAGTAAGGCATCTAGAGAAAACATCCTTCGAAATTGGGAGGCAGCAAAACAAATACATTTTGTCAAAAGTCACTTTTGCCTCTTGTATGAATTTCCATTGTGCAGTTTACAGGCCAACATCAAAAAGGAGAACTATGAGGTGAGTGATTTTCACTCATCCTCATAGTTGGAGCCGACGTGTGACAATGAAACTGTCACACGTCGACTCTATAGGTCATGAGGTGAGTGAGCACATACCATCGCTCACTCACTTTCCGATTATCTCCCCGCAGGGATTCCCCTCTCTGATCCGCCAGCGCTGACCGGAGGAACGGACGGGAACAGCGGGCTCTGCCTCTAGATGGGCAGAGCACGCTGTCAATCAGCAGGCTGGATGGCTCTCAACTAGGGATGCACCGATACCGATACTGGTATCGATATCGGTGCCGATTCCGAGTATTTGGGCAAGTACTCGTACTCGCCCAAATGCTCCGATACCTAGCACGAGTACTTCCGGTATCAGGAAGCTCGTTATTACATGTGTTATTACACGCTGCCTGGTTTCTTTAATTGGTATCGGCGAGTACCGAAAAAAAATTATCGGTACTCGGTACCAAAATACCGGTATCGGTGCATCACTACTCTCAACAGTAATGTCAGGATCCGTCCTGGCTGCGGCACTCTCAGTATATAGCGAGCCGTAGCTCGCTATATACTGAGCTTTGGGCCATGGGAGGACGTTAGTATATGTCCTCCTGTGACCCTTAAGAGAACTATGGGATAAAAAGTTTACCCCATAGTTCTCTTTTAAAACAAATGGTATTCTTTCATGTATTATCACCACTTCTTTACCTAGAAAGCATTATAGGACTATATGCACGTTGGATAAATGGTTCTATATCTCTGTGCTGTAAACGAGTAACTGCAGCTTTCCACAGAGCCATACAGGAACAATCTGCTTGTCTGTAGCTAATAAGGTAGAGCTCCAGGAAAATATAATCTTGGAATCTAAATCATATGCCTCGCATACATGTCATTCTATACTCGTACAATTGCAAGCATCCCATGTCCACAGTTCAACATCCTTCTCCACTGAAGTTATGTTAATTGATACGTGACTACACTTAATGACTGCGGAAGACCTGATTCTTTAGCCACCTTTCCTCCTTCAGACTGCTGATTGGACAGTGACAGTAGCACACTGTCAGGTTCATCCCTGTTCTCTTTATACTGTAAGCATATTTCTAGTGTTAGACTGACAGCATAGTGGAAGAGCTCTGACAGCTCATACTGATGACTTTCCCTCTCCCAGTGCAAGTTCTCTAACAATGAATATATAGAAGACTTAATAAAGTTACAAGAATAGTTTGTCCAGATTGTGTTGCACTTTGCAAACAACTACAGGCAAATGGGCAGGTTTAGGAAGTGGGATGAGTGGGGCCAAGCTTAACATTTACAGGAAAAGTTTAGATTTGCATATTAATAATATAGATACATAGTTACATACATAGTATTTGAGGTTGAATAAAGACATAAGTCCATCAAGTCCAACCTGTTGTGTGTGTGTGTGTGTGTGTGTATATATATATATACATACATTATATACATATATATATATAGGTCCATGAGTATTCTCATTCTTAAGAGTACCTGTACCCTTGTACATTACGGTCTCTCAGGAAGTCGTCCAAAAGCTTCTTGAATGATTCCAGTCTATTTGCGGAAATCACTGCTTGAGGCAGCGAGTTCCATACCCTAACCGCGCAAACTGAGAAGAACCCCCTTCGCCCCTTGTGTTTCAATTTTTTTTCAACCAGTTTTAGGTGGTGTCCTCTAGTCTTTGTTACGGAATTAATCTCAAAGAGTTTGTTGCTAATGTTGCTATGACTATTGAACATTAAGTACATGAAAATCATGTCCCCCCTTAATCTCCTTACTTCCAATGTAAACATGTTTAAATTTAGTAGCCGTGTCTCATAGTTCTGGTCCTCCATCCTCTTGATGATGAGTTTGGTCGCCCTCCGCTGGACTTTCTCCAGTTCACGGACATCCTTTCTGTGTACCGGTGCCCAAAACTGCACCACATACTCCAGGTGGGGCTGAACCATTGATGTGTAAAGATGTACACAAACTTTTTTTTTCCTGTATTGTGACTGGTGCATTTATGAAATACTGTGGGGGGG